AGTTTTGAGAGATACAAAAATCAAGAAACATTAAATCCACATGGAGTAGAAACAAATCAAACCCTCCCAGCAACAGGAATAACCAAGCAAGTTAATACTTGCGTGAATGAATCAGACAAGACACTGTTCACTGTTGTGTCTTGGAAGTGAAATAATGGACTATAATACAGTCTGTTTCAAAACTTTCATAGTGACCCACATACCAACCTCTATGAAAAATAATGAGATACCTCAAAAAACTAAAAGTAGACCTACCACTTGATCCAGCAATCCCACTCCCACTCCTTTGGAGTATTTCTCCCAAAGGAGAAAAGTCCTTTTATCACAAAGTCACTTGCACTTGAATGTTATTGAAGTACAATTCACAAAGATGTAGAATCAACCCAAGTGCCCATCAATTTATGAGTGGACTAATAAAATGTGATAAATGTATACCATGGAGTACGTACTACTCAGCCATGAAATAAAATGAATTAATCCTTTTGCAATAATCTGGTTGGAATGGAACTATTTTCCTAAATATTGCCGGATAGGAAAACAAACACCACATGTATTCACTATTAAATTGGAAATAACTGATTATCACCCAGATAGAAGTAAAACTTAATAGAAATTAAGCAAGTGGGAGAAGGGAGGAGAGGATGGGTGCAATCGTGCTTAATAGGTACAATGTGCCCTATCTGGGTGATGGGCACACTTATAACTTTGACCAAGCAGTGCAAAAGCAAACCATGTAACCAAAACAATTGCACCCCTATAATATTCTGAATTTTATAAAGCTTCTACACAGCAGAAGAAATAATCAACAGAGTTAACAGAAAACCTACAGAATGAGAGTAAATTATTGCAAACTATACATACTATAAATGCCTTCCATCCAGAATCTATAAAGAACTAAAACAAATAAGCAAGAAAAAAAATTTTTAAGTGGAAAGAAGACATGAACAGAGGTTTTTCAAAAGAAGATAGACAAATGGGCAACAAATACGTGAAAAAATGCTCAACATCACAAATCACCCAGAAAATGCAAATTAAAACCACAATGAGAGTCATATTTAAAGAACATATTTTATTCACTTGTTATCAAATGTGAAAAGGAAACTCAAAGAAATTAAGGAATGGGTTTTAAATAGATGTGCTTACATTGATATCAACTTTACCATATTAATCAATCTCACTCCAGAAGGGGGATAGGAAGTAGTATCTTCCCAGAAAACATGTATGTGAACATTTTACTTTCTTAAAAATTTATGCACTGGCTCGGCGCCTGTGGCTCAAGTGGCTAAGGCGCCAGCCATGTACATCCAAGGTGGCAGGTTTGAATCCAGCCCAGGCCCACCAAATAACAATGACGGCTGCAACCAAAAAATAGCCGGGCGTTGTGGTGGGCACCTGTGGTCCCAGCTACTTGGGAGGCAGAGGCAGGAGACTCACTTGAGCCCAGGAGTTGGAGGTTGCTGTGAGCTGTGATGCCATAGCACTCTACCCAGAGGGACAGCTTGAGGCTCTGTCTAAAAAAAAAAAAAAAAAAAAAAATTTATGCACTGAAAAAGATATTCCTTAAACACCAACAAACAAGCTTATAAATTGTAACACTTCATTCAATCCCTGATTGATCATTGTATTGAGTATTTTTAAAGACAAAACAATAGAAACCAAAAACCTATGAAAATACAGATATAAACAACAATGAGCTTTCATTTTAATACATCATATTCAAGCAGATTTTATTATAATACCCAATTTTGTACAGGGTGAGAGGAAACGTGCATTGTCACATCATAATTCTTGGCAACCTGCATAATAAGGCTCAACGATGTGCTTAGTTTTGATATAATAATTCCATGTCCAAGAATTTGACCTAAGAAAATTATCATGAATGTGTAGAAAGTTTTAGCTACAGGAATAGTCACTTCAGTGCTATTACAGCAGTGAAAAAGATATCCAACATGCTGGATTACATAATGACACATTTACTGAATGGAATAATACTATTTAAGTGATAGTGAAAAATAGAAAACAACACCAAAAACTTAAAATGTGTTAAGTGGAAAAGAAATAATTTTTATGAAAGCCACATTAATTCCCTAAGTACAGTCTGGTCTCAATAACTCAAAATAAGGCCTAACTTCTGGTTCTGAAAATTTTATTTTTACTGAAAGATAAGTCAAGTTTCTTATAGAGGGCATACTGTTGAAAAAGAAATGACTGAGAATATTCACATGAGCTTGGGTGATTGATAAAGAGAATAAATTTATTGAGAATGCAGTCTGCATATGGTCCCATTAAGACTCTCTACACAGGGCTGATGTAAGAAACTATTTAAATCAATCAATGGCATTAAATCCCCCAGGAGAGCAAAATCTTTGGATGGTCAGAGCTCTACAATCACAGGTGATTATTCATGAGAATGCCACTAGCCAGTCTCCATAAGTGATGCATTAACCCTGGGTGATTGATCTAGAACTTTGCAAAAGGAATTCTAAATACATACATAATTTTATTTAAAGGAAAGACAAGTTTCTCTCACCTACTTCCTAATGAAAGTTTACACATTCTTTTCCATGGAAAGTAGAGTTGGGGTGAAAAGCTAATGGTGTTCAGGACTGTCTACTCTTCTCACACAAGTTCAAAGAGAAAATTATGATGGAATAAGAAGGCAATGATTTTTACATCTCAAGAACAGAACGGTTGAAGAGGTGTGTGTTTTAAAGAAGACATAAAAGTCATGAAGAGCATGCATTTGTTAACCATAAACACAGCCATCAAATCCCAAAATATACTAAAAGTGAGCCAGAGAGGAGGTAGTTCTGGAACAACTTTACTAAACATATGGAATTCATTTCCCCAAATAAATTATGTGACACAAAACTGGAATAGTCCAAGAATGGACTGGTTAGAGCTTTTGTGTCAGTGGACTTACTAGAAAAGGAGAGTAGCAATCTCCATCCATGAAAACCACCATAGCAAGACATAACCAAGCTCCTCCAAACACACGTTCCTGTGTCATTGGCGGTCACCAAACGGATGCTATGAAATGCCATCACAACTGTTTCACTAGCACTGGCAAGTGTCTGGCACGTGACGGGGGTAGGGGATGCTCGGTGCATATTGTTCAATAGCAGTGAATATAACCTGCCTCTCCCAGCTCCCTCTAAACCAGAATTAATCCTCAGTTTGCTGTGTTATTGATTGTCCTTGGAAGAAAAGTGGAAGCTAAAGATCCCTATCAGAATTATAATTCCCCAAATACTTCTTAAACTCAACAAAACCATAAAAGTCAGATAGTCTCCCTTTGTAAGAACATTAAAAAGATTAAGGGAGAGTCATAAAGTATTCTTGAGTTTCTTAAGAAAAGGTAGTAATGGCAAGTCATTATTTTAAGAGGAAGCGCATAACAGTAGTAGATTTTAAAAGGCACCCATTGTTTGTATCTTAAATTTTAATATAAAATCTCTCTTCATTTAGCAAAGAATCTCATAATGCTCCTCTTCATCCACCAGTTTTGTTTAATAAAATTCTTGTTGTGACTCAAGTTCTAGCTTATCTTTGGAGAAATAAAATTTGTAAAAATAAGTCCCCTAAATCCCCCCTTTTTTTCTCTGCACCGTGTTCCTTATGTGGAAGGCACCCAAGAACACCCCCTGCAAGTAGTTCAAAATATATGACCACCACGCCAAGGCTGCCAAAATCTGTCAACAAAAGGAGGACTCAGAATGCTATGAAAGGCACCGGCATGATGGCTTTAGCAGACACATATATAAAAAGTCTCAGGTATTCTTTCCTACTCATTCCAGGGATCTTTCAAGCCTTCCCCTGAACCATAGGGAATGCACCATGTATTCACTGCATTTCTTCACTGGCCTTCTGGAACCTACTCTCCCAGCTGCAGGAGATAAAGACCTTCTTAAGGTCCCTTGCTGTCACTTAGCATATTAATCAAAGAAGAGTCTAAAAAGAAACTGCATGTATCCTAGGAACCTAAGCTCACTGTCTCTGCAACCTCCTGCTCACCTGCTGGGAAATGAGATGTGTCTGAGTCCTTAGAACTAAACTCCGTGCAGCAGACACAACCAACAGATCACAGCAGAATAAAAGGCATGAAAGTAAAGGGGAAAAACTATCTTCTCTCTATGATTGCATAGATGATATTTCTTTTTGTTTTGAAAAATTTAATCCATACAAAATTTAAAGCACAGTCCAGTAAGCATCGGTATACTCCTGGCCTACATACACCAAATATTAATAACCTTCTTGCACCTTATTCATCTCTCCACGTAGGAACTTCTGTGGCCTAAATGTTTGTGTCTCCCTAAAATTCACATATTGAAATCCTAACCCCCAAGGTGATGGTATCAGGATGCGGCACCTTTAGAAAGTGGTGAGGTCATGGAGGGGCAGCTATATCGAAAGGCCTTATTGCCTTACAAAAGAGGCCTGGACAAAGCAGTATCAAGAAAATGAGAAACTTAGAAGGGGAGGATTGGGCGGGTGTGGATAAACACTTACCTATTTGGTAAAATGAACACTATTCTGGTTATGGGCACACTAAAAGCCCTGACTTAAGCATTATACAAAGAAAACTACACAGCAAAAACCCTTGTGCCCCTTTAACTAATATTTTTAAATTTTAAAAAAATCTGTCCAAGAAATAAATAGTGAAAAGAAAGAAAAAAGAAAAGAAAAGAAAACTGAGAGAGACCCCCCTCACTCCTTCTCTCACAAGAGTCTGGACTTCCTAGACTCTAGAACTGTGACAATTAGGTTTCTGCTGTTTACAAACCATCCAGTTTATGGTATTTTGTTCCTGCATCTCAAAACGACTAAGGCAGGCACTGCACAGTCTTCCTCTTTCCACATCCTCCAGAAGTGCATTGTGGACAGCATGACATCTTACCCTACATATCTTAACACACATCTACAAAGAAGGATGTCCTCTCATACAACCCTACACCATTACCAAGCTGTTAACCTACTGTGAGATATCATCTAACTCCTGTAAGATTAGCCTACATCACAAAATCCCCAAACCAGAGATGTTGACATGGATGTGGAGAAAAGGGAACACTTCTATACTGCCTTTAATTGGCAATAATCGCACCTCGGATAAATCTCATTGGCTATGATACTGCCACTGCACAAAGCTCTACACTGCCTTTAAAAAAAATTAATTTAGTAACACTGTCCATCACCTAAGCCATACTTAAATTACCCCCCCTTGGTCCTAAAAATGTTTTTTGTAGCATGTTTAGATTTCCAGGATCCAACCAGACTCACAAGTTACATTTGGATGTTGTAGTTCCTTAGCCTTCCATTGTCACCCTCTGATCTTCTTGACACTGAATTCTTTGAAGAGTCCAGGACAATGGTTCTACAGAATGTTCCATTTTTGGATTTTTGGGGCAGTTTCCTCATGATTAGATTAAGACTAAACATTTCTGATAAGAACTACGTGTAGGTGATTCTGTGTGCCACCTAATACCTCACATCTGGAGACACTGAATGCCAGGCCAGCCCACCATGTGCTGGGAGTTGGACTGCTTGGTGCAATGGTAACTGCTAGGGCTCTCCATTGCAAAGAATTAATTAATAATTAATTAGTTACTATAATCAATAAGTAGTGTGTGCTGTTATTCTTTAAAACTGTACGAATGCTCTGTCCTCAACAATCTTGGACCCATGGTTTTAGCATTCAGAGCTATTCTGTACCTAAATCAATTATTACCCTTGGATGTTTACAAAAGAGAGATTTCCTAATTCTATTATTCTTTCTAGAATTTCTAGAATTATAATTAGCTGGCATTCTGCTTTGAAGAATTGCTTTTCTCTTCTCTCTTGACTCTGTCTCCCCTTCTCTATCTCTCTTTCTTCCTATCACAGAATCAAGTAATATTGATATTTGTTATGTTTTATTATCATTATTATTGTTTTTGAAGTTCCACTTGTCCCAAACATGGTTAATGAGAGCCCTCTGCAGTTAGCTCCTGAGCAGTTTACACGTCTCCGTCACACTTTGAGCATTTTCTTGGTTTCCTGTTAGTAAGATATTTCGGTTAAACCTGGACTTTTCTTCCCCAAGACCTGGAATCAGTTAATTCTCCAAGCAACCCAAATTCCTTTCAGTGGTAATGGGCACTAGATGTGTCCACACTTACAAGATATGCAATTTGAACTAAAGTCACAAAAAATAATTCTATACCCTGCAATGTCAAACAATGCCAAAATTCAAAAGAAGTGATGATTCTGGTCCCAATTTTTCAATAAATAAAATTAACAATGAATTCCACTACTGAGATATGTAACATACCTACAACAATGCTTCAGACATTGTATGGGTCCAATAATTGAAACCTATATTGTTATTCTTGTCAACAAAAAGAAGCATCGATAACACACACCACTGAAGTTTTATCAGACTTTGAGAAAGAACATGCAGCTTCAATTCAGTTTATATTTTGCTTAAGCTCATTACAAAATTAACTTACCTTCTTGGAATTCAAACTGACTGGTGTGAGACCAAGGGTACCAGACCCTTATCAAGATGTAAAGAAAACACCTGCCATGAAGCATCTTCTGAAGGTAGTTTTCAGATGAGGAAGCCACACTGCTCCCATGTCACCCCCTCTTCACATTGCTGCTATCCCAGCTGAGGCACGCATCACCTCTCACTTGGACTTTACCGTAACTTCCTAGAATGTTCTTATGTTTAGGATTCACATGATAAAGTATTTGGCACAAGTCATGATGCCTGAAATTTAGTCTCAAATCATTCAAGAAGTTTTAAAAAAAAAAGCATGTAAAACAAAATGACAAAATGTTAACAATTGATTCCAGTTAATTGTTGGATATATAGGTATTTTCTGAATTGTTCTTTCAACTTCTCTGGATGTTTAAAATTTTTTCACAATAAAATAAGGAGAAACAACTCTTCAAATGGATTCAACCAATTCATCATCTAAGTCCTTACAACGCCATCAGCATAGTCTTTCTTAAGCCTAGTGATAATCATGTCATTCTTCTGTTCAAAACCCTCCAGTAGCGCCCCTTCACCTCACAGTGTTGGGGGGAGCTGTGAATTATATGATTGAACCTTGCAGTCAGACCACTTGAGTTCAAACCTCTAAGTTACTACTTTTTAGCTTAGGTACCTGGAGACAGAGAGAATTCTTAACCTCCCTGCACCTTACCTTCCACAGAATGGATGAGGATAACAGTAAGACCTGCTGCACACTGCATCCTATCCATTGAATGAGCTAGCTCTTGTCACACGCCTAAAACAGCATCTGCTACTTAGTTAGGCTACATAAGGGTTAGCTCTGCGTACACTCAAAATACTTCCTTCCATACTATTATTTTGTAAAGAATTGTGTGATCAAAAGCCTTTAGAAGGTGTAGGGAGAAATGAGATACAGCAAGAATCTTTACTGCAGGCATGCGCAGAGCTTTTAATATTCTAATGTCCATGGTGCATCTTCAAGTATGTTGGTGAAACAGCACTTCTCGTAGGACCAAGACCAGCTCTTTGAAGATCAAAGTAAGGAAATGCTGACCTAGAGAAGAAAATCTGAACTCCTTCAACTTGATTTTGAAGAGCCTGTATCTACCACCACCCTTATCCACCCCACCCCACCCCATCTCTGGCTTTAATTCACTGAAGTTTGTTTAGCCAAACTTCAAACCCTGTAACCTCCCAACCTACCCGCTAAAGTGCTCTCTGTCTGCAGGGATTTTTCCTTCAGAATCAGTTCAGATGGCCCTGCCTCTAGCCCACTCAGATTCTCCCAGGCAGGACTGATTTCCCTATCCCTGCTCTCCTGAGTATTTTGTTTAAAATTCTATGGAAATACGTGCCATTCTGTCTTATGTTATGAGTTTTTATTTCTTGTTCTCTAAAATAATTTATTTGAATTATTTTTAACTACCCAAGAAGCAAAAGCACAGGTTGCAGAGAAAATCTCCCTTGTCTACCACGGAACCTAATCTCTTCCCTAAAAGCATTATTTAATTCCTTTTGACACAGAACTGGTAATATTATGTTTTTAACATATCTGTTTCTCTATAAGACTATACATTTCTAGAGTGCAAAATTATATCTTGCCCACTTTTGTATCTCTCATAATAGCTGACAGAATTCAAAACATAGAGAACATGATAAATAAATGTGGGAGTGGGGAGTAATTCACTGTACCAGATCTGTGCTCACAGCAACTCTGATTCAGAATAGGAAAAAAAAAGAAGAGGAGTAAACTTAGAAATACTAATTTAAAGTTCTGTGTTCTCTCTATTTAAACATTCCTCTATTTTTGAATAGTCCAAATTAAGAGAACATTGGCTGTTTCCCTCTTCGAATTATACAAACTAAATGAAAATAGGAATTCCGTAAACAAACTGAACATTTTAACTTCATTTTAGTGATTGACAATAGGCACCATGCAGGAAATCAGAACTTACTAAGGAGAAAGTGGATGTCATTTGGACAGAAGCACAGGCCCTCGTTGGCACTAATAATTCCAGTGGGAAATGGCAATTAAGTATGTTCAGATTCTGACTATCTGGAACTATAGGAAGTTCTGAATTTGATTTGTGTTGGAGGAATTGTGATCAAGCAGAGAACATGAACACAGTGATATGGGTATACTCTAAAATACGGCCTTTTCAGACCAAAAACATGTAATTCTACAAGAAAAATGAGAGCAATGTCCCTTTTTGCCCTATAGCTGTTTCTTGGAAACGTGTCTGGAATGCACAGCATTAACCAATAAACATCTATCCAGAATCTCTAATCTCATAGTCAATAAACTATCTGATATTCTGCCTTCACATTAGAATACCAAGAGGTTCTTCCAAAACGAGTGCCTCTGTGAGCTGCGTAAGCCTTAAGCTTGGGCACCCCTCGAAAACAAACGGAAACATCTAAGAGTGTGCAGACAGCACTTCACTCCACAGTGGTGACAGTGGCAGAGCCCTGCTCAAGGCAGTTTCCAGCAAAGCCTGGAAGATTTGTTTTTAAGCCAGTTTTAGAAGGAAGCTAATGTTAATTGTAGAAAATAGTAATGTGAAAGTCCGATGGAGCTATGTAGATTGGAGATTGAGCCAATCTTTCCAGAACATGTGGACATTAAAAGGGTCCTATTGCCATTGCATGATGCCACGGCACCTGCCGGCAGTTCTAACCAGCCCTGCTGCCCTGGACCAGGATGTCGAGTTACCAAATAGGCTCAGAGCTAAGAAGCTGCAAGCCACACAGAAAAGAAGGCTTCAACCTCAAAAGCCCCCTGAACTAAAGTCTCACCCCACGCCACCAATGGGACCAAAAGTTCAAGGAGTGATCAGACCCTAAACATTGAAATACTTCCAAAAGTAAGAAGTTGGTCGTCTGGGAAAGTCTAAAGATAAGGCCCTTCCCTACCTTCCCATAGCAGTCCAGTCTGAAGTCCTTCTGATCAGAGTCCTCTCTATTTTAAAATTCCTCCGTTAAGAGAACACTTGCTGTTTCTGTCTTTGAATTATACAAAAGAAATGAAAACAGGACAAATTAAACATTTTAATTTCATTTCAGTGATTAACAATAGCCAACATGCAGTAATCATAACAACCTCCATCACCCACAAAACTTATTCCAACCCCAGGTTGGGCAGATAGACTTCAGCTTTGCCTCCTGTATTTCTGCTGGTTGACTTACAAAAAACGTTTTCTTTTTTCTAAACTCAGTGCCATTGTATTGGCTTCTGTGCCTGCATGGCAGGGCGCTCACACAGCACAGAACAGCGGACTGAGGGAAGCAGAGAAAAAGCCGCCCAGCCCAGCTCCTCCAGCCGCCCTGGCCTGACCGCTGAGGGCAGCCAAGTAGTGCATGGTCAGCTGACTTCACGAGTCTCCAGTTCTGGCTGTTTAGAAGTCCAGGTGGATATGAGAGAATTGCCCACATTTCAAAATCTTTACCCCAGTAAATACCTGATGAAAAGGTAATTATCTTGTTTTTCTGGAAAAGAAACAAAACATATCTATCTACTTAGCACTTGACATAGCAGAGATGTTCTCCTTGGTTGTCTTCCCCTCCTGGAGAGTGCGCAGCTGTGATAAAGGCCTCAGTCTGAGCATATGCTGCAGATGGGCTCCACTAAAATAAACGGGCAGTCCTGGGAG